TATATATATATATATATATATATATATATATATATATATATATCACATCAACATTTACATTATAAAGCAGTATAAAGCTGCATTCAGACAGCTAATCTCTGTTTTGTTGCATAATGAAGAAAACCGTTTGTATTGTAAAGGGTTTGAAATGCAGTTAGATCACTTTCAAACTCAGTCTGACCATTCAAATCAGTTTTTTAAGTGTTTTCTTTTTTCAAAAGAGCTGCAATCACACATAGTCAGCATGTGCATTTGTGTGCCATCACTGTGGTGACACATTATTGCAACTTGTTACACTCTGTAAATACAGAAACCCAATCTGGTCACTTTTAAATTACAATGTGGACATTCAGCCTTAAAGATAAGATATGAAATCAAATCTGATTGCTTTGTGGCTGAACAAAGCATTCGACACAGTCTGACGTCTACTGTCATCTTTTGAGCTGTTTAAAATGGGACTGAATGACTGAATCTCTAATGGAAATTAAAATATTCCTATTTTTAAACTCAGTGGTATCAGTGTTTGCATCTGTGGCCTACATAAAAATATATATTTTGTATTTTTCTGAGTCACAAAGTTCATGAACTCATTTTGTAATCATTGTTTGCTGTGTAAGAACATATTAGAAGGTGTGGTCACGGTGCAACGTAAGCCACTCTGATAACAGCTAGGTTTTTATTAGCCTAGCAGCTGAGTTAGCAATCATTTACACACAGTTGTAAAGTAATGACAGATTGCATTGTCGACAAAAGTGTCCCGAATGAATGTAAATGAATGAATGTAATGTACCAATAAACTTTGTTTTATTCAGTATTTACAGATGGTGAATTTCTACTAAATGTATGTTGGAAAGTCTGCTTTGTTTTATTGAAATTCTGAAAAATGTATATTAAAGAACCTTTTCTTCAATTTAAAAAGGCCAAGGTCATTGCTACATACCCATACCCCCAAGACAATTTGAAGGTTCTTGCTTTAAAACTATTCAATTTTGTATATTTTCTTCATTTGCATTTCTGCCTGGACGTCCACACTGTGAACTGAAACCAATAAGCTGTTTACATGTTAAAAGCCACAATGCACAACTGGCCTAACAGGAAATAGTAATTTAACAGCACACTGTTTACCAAGTGTAACTGTCTTTCTCATGTGGAAAACTGGATAGATGGATTAATGGTTAGAAAGAACATTAAAAATCTGTTTTAGCATATGTTCCAAAATATATGTTTGTAGAATCTCAAAGAAAGAAATTGTATCTGGTTTCAAATTATCTGAAAAAAAGAGCAGCTTTTGTAACCTTGAGGGGGATTTACCTGCAATTTAAAATGCAGGTCCTTTTTTTTTTCCGAACAGCGAGAAGAGGAAGTGATCCTCCCATTTAACTGTCCAGCACAGAGAGAGAAACGGTGCATCTATCTGCACCCATGGGACTTGTTCCAAGGGGTAACATCAGCCTTGGGTGGATCTCTGGTTTAACACCCATTGTGTGCTTGGTTATGCAACTGCTACCAGATACCCAAATGGAATATTTAGTGGGAGGTAAAGGAGGAAGTAACAGATATATCTAACTATATATATATATATTACTATAAATGTCCCAAGATGATCCTAAGAATTGAACTTGGTATCGGCAGACAGTACGAGGTTTAAGACTCATGCTAGGGCTAAAAAAAAACTTGATCCTGACATTTATTTTATGTTTTCAAGGCCAAATGTATACCAAAACTCACCTGACTCAGTCACAAGAACAAAAAAATAATTTGATGTGACAAAAGGAACAGTTTCATACATCACTGATTGCACATACAGCACAGTTTGCAGGACATTAGCTAAATGCTAACAAACCCACACAATGAAAAATGATGGCAAAATTGAATCAATACATCCTGTGACAGTTTACATCATGAACATTGTCCAGAACTCAGATTTATGAGCAGGTTGCCTCATAGAAATCCATCGCATCATTGCATTAACACAACATAACTTTGACTCCTGCATTAATGCAAAGAAGTAATATTATATGAGTCATTTATTTTCATTCCTCCATAGCCTAATGATTAGATGAAAACAAATTCAACCATTTATCGACGCAATCTGCTGCCATGTCAAAGATAAAGCCCAGTCTCTACAAGGTTCAGAAAGCCAGTTTATGAGGCCTTCTTTGTTCAGCTCCGTGTCTTTTACAGGATCAGGAACACAGCAGAGAAGGTGTTACTCAATTGTGGGGAAATAGCTACAGTAGTGGGTGCTGTTAGGGGTTGCTAATACATTTTGCTATCTTAGTATAAACCAGTGCTGTGCACATTATATTTCATAGCCCTTAGGCATTCTGTGACCCTCTCTACATCAAAGCACAAGCATGTCAAAGAACATGATGCATCTGCTCTATTTGAGATCAAGTCAGCTACGCTGCCCTTGACATATGAGTGGGCTCTGTGCTCGTAGTGAGAATAGGGCCGATAGAGACGTAGAGGAAAAAGTGGACATTGTGAAGGATGATTTAACATGAGCAGAGAGCTGGAACTGGCAACGCACCAGTGAAGTTCAATGTTGCAACTGACACAAAAAGCACGGTGATGAAATGAATATGTGAAATGGCTACTGTGAGTGGGAGTAAGTGGGAGGTAGATAGACAAAGAAATTGGGTTAGATCCAGTCAAGAACATTTTTGGGACAACTACCTCCAAGAGAATCAAACAGGATGTGAAAGGGCGAAAAGGAGTGAACCAGGGAAAGACAGGAGGATTCCAACTCCTGACAACACACTGCAGAGAGAAAGACAGGGTGTTTTCATTGTGAGAGGGATTTTAGGTCTCTCACGTGTTTGGAAAATATATGGCACAGGGCATGTTGTCCAGCTTTTCATCATGTTCTTTTCTTCTATCTTGCTCTTCTTAAGTGTCAAAAAAAAAAATTCATTCTTTACTTGGCTGACAGCTCTGACAGGTTCTTCTCTTTCCGTCTGCCAGAAGGCTGTCTCTCTCGTCTTTCAACTCTCCAAGTCCCAAGAAGATCGAATGGGAGATTGCAGGGCCCTCTTGAGTACCACAGGAATGGTAAAACTATGAATGGGGAATAGTAGTTCAGATGAACCCAATGCTTCTGCACAAATAGAATTTCGATCACAGCTGAGGGTGTGTGTGCCTGGCCTGGATCAATTGATATAATGATGGCCACTTAAGTCACTTCTCGTACGGACAGCACATAGGGACGCAAGCAGGTTATACCCCCTCAGAAAATGTTTGAAGATGCTAAGTGAATTCTAAGTAAGTCTTTATCATAAAACTATCATCCAAAACTCACACTATCTTCGTGGTAGCCATTTTGTTTTTTAATATTTCTATCTTTTCCAGTGAAATGTGTTCATGCCTCACTGCTGACGATTTTGTACTCTGATCTCTATCCGTTTTCATTGCTCTAAAACTCCGGCCTCGTGTGGACGCTCAGTGTAAACGTAGCAAAACATACCTTTCAAAATAAAAACTTAGTAGTGTGGACATGGCCTAAGTTTGGTTTGGCACCATGAAGTTACTTTATGACTGCTTCTCATTGACTCTCATGAGACAATGGAAAGAAAAAAGTATGACTATTGAAAGACTGCCAAAGAGAAGTCTGTTCCTGTGTTTCCACATGAGAGGGCTTTCATAATGTGCTAGTTAAGACTGTGTTGCAGGCATATAAAGCAATGTCACTACGAAGAGTGTGAACAATCACTTGGTTCACAGGGCTCAGTGGTTCCCCTATATTCAATCTGCAGCGGTGCACTGCCACTGTTAAAATTTCACACAATCATTAATATCTTCTTAACACAGAGCAGAGGAGAGACAAGTGAAGTGACCGGTTACACACAGGCTCGAAAGTGACCGAAACGCTGACATACTGTCAGATTCCGTGTTTTTGTGTTTTTAGCTGATCTGGACAAGAGAATATTCAGTTAAAACCGCTCATTGTTCTCCATGAAGTTTGCTGGAAATGATGCAATTTAGCACCGGGCGTTTTATGTGGAGTGAGCACTATTCCGGCCGGAATCCATATTAAAAATTACAGCATTTTAAATACTACATTGCTTGTCAGCAACCAGTCATATGGTAACCTTGGTGGCAATTTGGCCTGCAGTTAAAGGTATATTATGCAGGATCTCTCATAAAAACAATGGACAAACAATAGACTCTTACAAAAAAAATCTCTCTAAATCGTCATGTATGATCCACTGCGTTGCGTTGTCTGTATTTGCAGAGCCTTCTGCCTGTGCTTTCTTATTTCTTATTTCTGGGCGACAGCCTTCGGGCTTTGGCTTGTGCAAGCACGCATCCAAAATGTTCAAAAGTTACTGACAAATATTTGATAAGTAACTGATAAATATTGAAAGTTGAAGGACACTTTAGAGTGTTGAATTTGTCCACAACTGTACAGTTAAATAACATAACGTTCTAAATGGTCATAGGCAGGGTCATCCTGAGTAAGATGACAATGAAAGAAAATTGTCCATTTAAGAGTTCTGTGGACCGTCAACAGCTTGTAGAGCTGTGTCAATCTCGGTCGGTCAAGTTAACTCATGTCAATTATATTCATATAGTCCAAAAACACAATTTAGCTTCAAAGGGCTTTACAATCTGTACAGCAGCTAATAGCACAATAATATCCCCATTCTTTATCTCATCAACTACAATTTGATTGCTCATCTGTTTCTCCAACTGGTGGAGAATTAATAAATGAACAGACCTATTTGAATCCCTAAATGAATCTGAGATATAGGCGACTGTTCAAAGGTTGAAACCAGACTACTGGCTTCATTTAGCATAATTGATCTGCTTCTCCCATACCACTTCAATTCATATATATACTGTATATATATATATATATATAAACCTCATTGTACTTTGTCATTTTAATTTGACATAAGTGAATCACATCAAGCAGCCCTTTTCCTGCCATCCCCATTAAAA